AAGTATGAGGGGAAGAAAACAAAGACCAAGAAAGCTGTTGCAGCTATTAATGCCATTTTATGGGGAAAGAGAGCGGATGCTTGCGGGCATCATTTGGAGAAGCAATTGACCTTTCCACACCTCTGCACATACTGCAACTTGAGAGAACAGACCCAAGAGCAGCATCTCTTTCCTACTGTTTCATGGCTCTCTGTTTTGCCTTGTCCCCTTGCTTCTGGCATCGATGTCCCAAGAGCATCATTGCCTCCCTGCATCCCACATCCAATAACTCGAATTGAGGCTAAGAAAGGCAGGGGAAAGGCTGGGGCAACTTTGCAAGTGGACATAGGGTGGGGGGAAGGAAACACTTCAAGCAAAGCAATTCATCTAGACCTGACAGGAATGCCAATTCCAATGAAATAAATCAAGGAGTTTAATATGCACATTTTTGTCCACCAATGGAAGGTTAGGAAGGAAAGATATACGTCTTGTACAATGTTTAATTGCTTATAAATGTCATGGATACATATACCTTAAAAATGAAGGCTTCAGCAAGTTTCAAAACTATATTCAGAGAACAGAGAAATGCCAGGACCAACCAGTCTAACCAGTGGTCCAAAGGCAGAGCCATCTATAAGAATCATTACAAGGATATTTTCAGAGAGAGGAGAGAGGAGCAAATGATCAGCTGAGGTTGTGCGCCTTTGCTTCTCTACAGTGTGGATAAATATATCTAGGGTAGAAACACGTACCCTGAGCACATCCTGGACAGACTATTCACAATAGGCTTCAAAAGCATGTAATATATACTGGATTTTATTTGATTAAAAATGCTCATGAGATACTCCAAATGCAGTGGGAGGGCAGGATATAAATAGCGAACAGTACTGACATGAAATTACACATTTTGGTTTTCTTTTCGCTCTGAAGCAGTCATACTTGCAAGAAGGGAGATGAACACACTCGTGCCTGCCGTTTCATCTCCCATCTTGAACGCAGGGCTGCTTCGCTGCTTTTCACTTCGTGCCGCAAGCACAAGGCCCACGAAGAGCTTCAGGTGTCTGCAGCCTCACACGACAAGATTCATTCAGCCATGGGACATGACTGCTGCTGCTGCTGCTGCTGCTGCAGAAAACGAAAGCGAGGTGACTGTGGCCAAATGCTGAAGCTTCCACATCAAGAGCAGTCCATCTGAGCCATGGAGATTTGGACATTCAGCTGCAGTGCCCTGAAAGTTCACAGCTGTTCTTAACTGAGTACAGATTTAAGATGCACTCAACACAGGCCTCCATTCAGGATTTGTCTTTAGTTATATAAAAAGTTTACCTCCTTCTCTAGCCTTTCCCAACTTGGTGCGCTGCAGATCTTGTGTGTTGCAGTTCCCATGACCACTTATCATTGGCCATCCAGGCTGGGACCAGTGGGGTGATCATTCCAAGCATCTGGAGGAGACCAGCTGGCAGCTGGATCTTGATGTTACCCTGGTGATGGGACAGCCTTTTTCCTCTCACAGGAGTCGCCTGAGAATGGGGAGCACAGCTGGTGTCGCTCAAAGAAGGGGCCAGCCAAGGGGCTCCTCCCCCATCACCTCCCCCTGAGATGCCCATCTGCTCTGCCCAATTGACCCTGTGTGAGGGGATGATGGGTGGGGGGCCATTCCAAGCACTTGGCATGCAAGTTGCTCCAGCATGTTGCACCAAAACTGCTTCACCTCCTTTAAGTGAAAGGAGCTGCACTGATGTTATGCATATGCATTTGACATATGTGTGATTGTATCCATCCAAACTTTATCTTTGTAATCAGTTTACTACAGAGACACTCCTAAGACAAGTTAACAAAGATTAGAGACCCTTTGAAATTCTTCAGACCTTCTGCTACATGCGCCATTTTGATAAACATTTAGGAATAGGTGGCCTTTATGCTCATCACTCTTTTACTGAATGCTTTTAAGTGGCAATTGTGGATATAAATCCATTGATCCAGGCAACATTTCTACAAATCTTCCTCAGTTAAGCCAGCCTCCCCCAGTTGGCACCCCCTTGATGGGTTGGATGGCGGCTCCTATCTTTCTCATACAGCAATGGCCACACTGGCTGGAAATGATGGGAGCAGTGGTCCAGGACATCTGGTAGGCATCAAGTTGGGAAGGCTGATTTGGGGGATGCCTGTGAATTCGTTCCTTTTCATTATTACAGTTTTGGTTTCTGTTTTGCTCTGAGGATAGTGTTCTGTTGGCCCTGTCTTAAAGGAATTTCCTGACACTATTGCTAATTTGGTGAGCATTTTTAAAGTTAGTTTTCCTAGGTCTGTGTCAGCAGTTTGTTTTTTCAAATTCTTCCCGATTTATTGTTTGCTTGTGCTGTGAGCTACATCCAATGTTGCATTTGCATGAGTGGACCTCTGCTTGCACAACAGACCTTTCCTGTCCTCTTCTCCATCCAGCCACAAATTCTGTTCCAGAAGGTCCCCAACAATCCAAAAGAGAGATGGGGAGTTGTAAGAGCTGTATAGAGAAGGGTGGCAACAAACCAGTTCTGCTGACAGATGCACTTCTGTCTGCAGCTGAAGACAGCTGGATCACACCCAAAGTTCTTAGCTATTTTATGAAGTTCTTGTTGGTTTGTTGTTTGGCTGTATTAATATTGTTTTGTTACTTATCTGAGATACTTTAAGCTGCCTTGAGCAAGCATTTTGCAAAGAAAGGAAAGATATACATTAATCAAACACAACAAAACAAATGGAAGGTGGCAATTTTTCCAGATTAACTAATGTGAAGCACAAGGGTATGACAAGACACGAGGCTGTAAGACCAGAGCTGCAAGACTTGGCAGGAAATAATGAGGATTAACTTTCCTTATAAATGACCAGCTCTCAGTCAATGTTACAGAACAGCTGGACAAAACACACGGCCACCCTTTATAGTTTCCTCCTGGCGGAGATCCTGGCTCTTTAGCAGCTGCATGGCAGGGGGGAGTGGGGGAACTCCAAACTCCACAGGTGATGCTTCCTAGGACCTGCCATCTCCATCCTGGATGGAAGAGCTGCAGCTGTTAAATTTCTGCTTGCCATGCAGCTGTTACAGGCACATAACTCTGGCCCCGAACATGAGGAAAGTCAGCTACTTGGACAGCACAAAGAAAAAGCCAGTGCGTGTGCATTTTGACCATTGTAAAGACAACACATTTAATTGGTCATAGTTTTTGAACCCAGGCTTGTGACAATTCTAAGAATATTTTTTAAATGGAGTTTAATGGAATGAGACTTATTGGAAGTACCAGCAGAGCAGTATATTGTTAGTCTGGTTGTGAAAGTTTTGAACTAACCCTGGAAGGACCTGTTTCAATCCCACTCAGCCATGATGCCCACTGAGGGACCTTGGACTGGCCACATTTTAGCCGAAGTTCCCTTGGAGGGTGCAGAATTTTAAGAAATGTAGTTTATTAAGGACCAGACCATGATCTGGAAGACTCTGCAATTCTATGCAGGTTGACTTTGGAATGACCTACTCTGAAATCAATGAGCTAACTTACATAGGACTAGGCTGCACACTGGTGCTCTCTTAGTGCAAATAAGCCCCACCGAAAAATTACAATGCAATTCTTAGACCAGGGGACCTCAGACTACAGCCCATGGGCCAGATACGGCCTGCCAAGGTCATTTACCTGGCCCTCCTCAGAGCTTTCGGACTTGTTCAGCACAGGCGCACTCTGAAACTCTAAGACCCCTGCCTTCGACCCTATATCCACCGCCAAATCTGTTTCCTAAAGAAAGAGCTGTGAAAAAGCAGCCATGTTTAGGTCCTCAAAGCCTCAGGCCCTCAAAGCCTCAGCTATCATCAGGAATGCAGGGAATCACAGTCCAAAACATCTGGAGGGCACCGGGCTGGAGAAGACTAGGCCATGTGCTTAAGACTGGCCAGCAACACAAACAGTTTAATTTAAATTTAAACTATGATTCAAACCAAAAGGAAATCAAAAGGCAATTTCCAAAATCCCTATTAGTGCAGTACAGAGACCTGGAACATGTTGCCCTCTGGCTGTTGTTGGACAGCAAGTGCCATCAGCCCTAGCAAGCACAAGCCATCATGAGGGACGATGGAAGTGGTAGTTAACAGAGAGCCATATTTGGAATGGGAGAAAGAATAAAAATTCACTTGAGGTGTATCTGCATTTTCCAGTCTCAAAGTGCAGGGCTCTGCAGGTCTGGTGATAGTTAAAAGAGTGGCCTAGAATTGCAGGCTTCCTCTAGAAGTCACATTCAACTCCCCGTCGCCACTAAGACTAAAATGAAGAAATAAATAGAGCATCTGAAGCAGATCCCAAATTAGAGCCAGGATTCCTGCTTCTGATGGCTTTTGCTCTTCCAGCCCACGCTCTCGCAGGCGCGGTTATCACCACTGCGACCGTTTTGTTGCGGACGCCCGCTTGCAAAGTCGCCCGATGCCCATCTGGAAGCCATCCCGACATCTTGTCCCGTTGTTGCAGTGGTTGCTGAGAGCGCCTGCCCCCCCCCCCCGCCCCGCCATTCGGCTTGTTGATGTCGGAGCGCTCGCCCGCGCCGCTCCAGCCCAAGCCCTCAGGGCGACGGGCACGGAGAGCGCGGCCGCCCGGGCCAGGGGGCGCCCCTGCGTCCCGCGGGTCACGCTTGCACTTCGGGGCGCATGCTCCGCGCGGCGCCTGTGTGTGCGGCCGGCAGAGCGGGGTGGGGCGGGAGGTCCAAGTGCGGGGCCGCCGCCGAAGAGCGACATGCGACAGGTCCTATGGATAGCCATGCCCCCCCCCCCCCCGCGGCCCAGGACGAAGCGTCCCGGGTGCACCGCGAGAGAACTGATTTCCACCTCCGCCCCCGCTGCAGGAGGTGGGGGAGGCTTGTGGTCGATTTCGGAAAGGGGGAGAGCAGATCGCTTGCTTTGCCTCTCTGCCCGCCCCCTTGTTGCTGGGTTAACCCTCGAGCCACAGGACCCGAGGAGGACGGAAGGAGAAGGGATGAGAAAAGGCCCGCCGATGGGTGGGGCTCTCGGCTTGCGCTGGATCCCTCGCCTCGCTCCCCCGCCCCCGCCCCCTCTGCCTAAAGGGTTAACAGCTGACAGCATCGGCGGCCGAGCCCGCGGCCGCTGGCTTCCATCAACATCTGGAAGGGGGCTGACCGGGGAGGGCTCCGTCGTGCTTGCTCCGGAGGGGCTTTGGCCATTGGCAACATCTGAATGGCTGCAAGGAGGAGGAAAAAGAGCGAGTAGAAGTTTAGGTTGGTATTCTTGCACACTTTAGAAATGTAATTAATAACGATGCGGTAAGTTCGGCTCTTTTAAACGTGAAATTCCGGTTGGTCAAGCCCGCTTTACTGTCGCGATCGCCCCTTCTGCTTGCCTCGATTCTCTCGCCCCAATCGAAAGCCGGAGCGGGGGTGCTTCCGAGTCCTTGCTCGCACTCTGCCCGCATTTCAACTTGCGGATCGCGACGGGCCGGTCTTTGGCGAAGCAATCCCTGTTCTTCCCGCTGCGCTTCGCTTGCAGCTTGGGGAGGAAGCGCGTACAGAAGCCGCCGCTAGTCGAGGCAGTTTTGCAAGCGGGACGCGAAATACGGTACAAAGTTTAGGCTTTGCTGCAAACAGGCCACCCGGTCCCAGTCGCTTCCGAGATCTTTTCTTAGTTTTAAACCAACCCACCCACCTCCGATCCGGGTGTGACAGGAGAGGATTTTTGAACATACCAACAAAAAGTGCATCGTTGTAAACAGAATGGAACAGCGATGCCGTTCTGGCGTGGGAAACCGCCTCGGCATCTGTGATATTTTTCCATTTTATTGTGCTTTAAAAAAAAATCCTTCCAGCTTGTTATATTACCAAGGAAGTCGCCAATCTAACCTAGACATTTATTCTCATGGTTTGCATCTAATTGAACCCTCCCCCCTTCCTCTCGCTGTCTCTGCCACTCTGGCATCTGTGGATGTTGGCAAGACGATTTGCGCGTCTGGAGAAAAGCACAAGGAGAGGGAGAGGGCGGTTAGGATGGGGGAGGACTTAAGCTGGTAGCCGCTCACTCGGCCTCAGAGATTGTTTTGCTTTCGGTGGATTGCTACCTGTAGTTCATGGCTTGATAACTATAAGATCAAGTGGGCCGAGGCAGGGCAAGCAGCACAGACTGAACTTTGCTTCCTCCGCAGCAGCACGCCTCAAGTTAACTTTGCCTTGGAGTGAACCGCACATTGCTTAAAGTGAAAGGCTGGGATCTGCAAACAAGCCAAGCAGGCAACCTTTCCTGCTTGCCAAGTGGCAGTAAACCGTTGCAGTTGGTGGAGTTTGAGCTTCTGAAGGCCTGACTTGCCAGGTTTTCTCTGTCTCACAGAAGTCATTTGAACTTCCTGGTTTTTGTTGTTTCGCTTTATAACATACTCTGGTGAAATTTCAGTCCACTATATGCAAACTTTTCCCGCATTGCCCTATTGAAGTATCTGATGCTTGCAACAACCTCCTCCTTTTGCCTGATGCCAGCAACCCTTAGCAGTTGCCTAGGAGCCTGTGAGCCCTGGGTGGCTTTCCTTTTTCTTTCTCATCAAATTAAAAGTTTAGCAGTTTCCTACTTCTGCCCACCACGTAGCACAATGGTACCCCCTGCTGTGCACGTGGAAGGCGCTAGGTTCATTCCTCAGTATCTCCAGCAAAGACCAGGCGAGACTCCTGCCGGAAGTCCTAGAAAGGTGCTGCCAGTCAGTGTAAGCAATACTAAGTTAAATGGACCAGTGGCCTGGTTCTATATAAGTCAGCTTCCTGCATTTGTTAGACTTATCTTTATTGTATGGTTTATGCCACAGGTGGACAAACTTCAGACCTGTGGGATCTACTTTTTTCCCTTAGAACCTTTATTTTTAGTAGATCCACCGACTGGAGGCCCATACAAAACAATTAAAGAATTCTGAGCGCAGCTTTTTGTTTTGAGTGCCAGAGCAGAAAGGAGCTCCTAGTCTTTCCACATACACACACCAAAGCACTCCTGGTTACCCTAATGAATGTCTTATTTCAGCAGTACACTTATGGCCTGTCAAATGATTTTTGTTGCTATTGCTGTTAAACAACTGGAAGTTAGAAATCCTTTCCCATCTACTGCAAATCTCCCAGAGATCTGCCCATCCCTGGTTTAGGCAACAAGACCTCCAGCTACTTTTAAGGTTTTCCCTTTTCAAGCAGATTGGAAAGGGTTCTGAAATAGAAGGAATGAACAAGTCGTCAGCACCTGGCTGCGGCTCCCACTTTCATCAACACCCAAAGAAGCTGGGCCCTGTTTCTAGTGTGCAGAGTTTTACTATCAGGTCTTAATAGGCAGGCCTTGTGACTGAACAATGAGGATGTAACACAAACATGTGTGAGTCGCTGAGCAGTATCACTTCTATGCGCACTTACCTGGAAGTAGATCCAATGGAACCTGGTGAGGCTTACCTCTGAGTAGGCATGTATAGGGTTACACTCTTTACTACGTACATTGAAGAATGGTGCGTCTAGTAGCATGGCAACAAACCTGTTTGAAAGAAAAATGAATAAGGGCTAAAATGAGGAATGACATTGGGGAAGAAAAGCTGTAGGAGAAAAGGAAGTGGTATGAGTAAATGATGAAAATAACTCATTTCAGCAAGTCATACCGTAATTTCCTCTTGTTCTGTTCTCTCTTCTTTCCCATTCTCCCTCCCTCCCTCTACTTTTCTGTTGCTACTTTCAAGGTTTGCTCCTATGCAAGTCATTCAGAAAAAAGGCCGAGACTCCCAGCCTGCTCCAGCCAGCTAAGCGGGGAATTGCAAGACTTTCTTCAGCCTAGATTTGCATAGGATTGCACCCATACTGCCCTTGTGTAGCTCCTTCTGGCTTGTCCTGCTTCTTTTCTTGCCTCCAGCTGAGTTCTGGTGTTATGAATAAATGTGCAAAGCTGAGAGCAGAGGTGCTTAGCCTGGGTGGGGCTCGTACCTACTATTTATTTATTCCAGCCTTTCTGCCAAAAATGGCACTCCAAGCAGCTAACAATAATAAAATACAGGTTTAAAACATAATCTTAATTAAAGCATAACATAAAACACCCTTTATTTATGTATTCATTTCATTTTTATATTGCTTCAAAGTTAAACTAAAGTTAATATCTCACACACACATTAATTTAAAAGAAGAAAACCATAATTGCAATTGCTATTCAGCACAGAAACATAGCAGTGATACCCAAATGGAATATAGAAAAACAAAGTTAAAAACAATTGAAAATAAGAGAAAAAAGACCCACCTACTTAAAACCAAGCTCAGCAGCAGACCAGCTTATCTGCTGAAGGCTCCCCTAGAGACAGATGGCTTTGCCTGCTGGCAGAAAGACAACAGAGAGAGCACCAAGCTGTCTCTCCTTAGAAAGAAGTTCCAGAGCCTAAGGAATTCTTAAAATCTTGCTTGCTTGCTTGCTTGCTTGCTTGCTTGCTTGCTTGCTTGCTTGCTTGCTTGAGGTGGAGTCTGTGGGGTACATCTTGAGGAAATCGTCGAGAAATGACTTGCAATATTATTTGAGGCATCTCTACTCGATTGTTGTGTGGAACTTACTAGGACAGTGTGTCCAGGCTGGCAGCTCCCACACGCTTGTGTGTAAAGGAGAGGACTGCCTTTTTTCTCCTCCATAAGGATAATTGGTTTCCTCCCATGGGAGGATGTGCCAGCCTCTTTTTTGTATTGAGTTGGACCATTGCTCCATTTAGCCAGTGTTACTGCCAGCCAGTGGCTCCCCAGGCAGGATCTCCTCTTAGCCATACCTGGAGATGCCATGGAACAAACCTGGTACAGGATCACTGGAGTTCCACAGCGCAACTCCCGCTGAACAATACCCATCAGATTACGAAGGGATTGCCATGGCTTTGACTGTGCCTCCAGCTTCCTTTCTTTTCTTTGTATACCTCCCTGCAAATAGAAGATTAGCTTGACTGGTGGAAAGGGAACATTGTAACTAGAGAAACAGGGCAAGGTTGCATAGTAGAAGTGTTATTTCTAGCCTAATCCTATGCATGGCCACTCAGAAGTGAGTCCTGTTAAGTCATAGCATTGGTAGGGACTTCAAAACCTAACTCCCTGTTAATGCGGGGAAATCTGCAGCAACAGCAGTCCTGAACGGTGGCCACGCTCGCTTGCTCGGCATAAAAACTAACCAAGGAGAGTCCATCATCAGCCATTGCAGCTCTCTTTGTTGAGATGCCCTTTCTAAAATTCAGCCTAATCCCCTGGTTTGTAGTTTGACCCTGATGACCAGTTCCTATCTTACAGAGCAACAGAGAACAATGTTGCTCCATCACCAATTTAGTACGCCTTCCAACATTAGACAATGGCAATGACACGATCCCTTAATCATCTCTTCTTATGGTGATCTCAAATGCTTTGGCATTTGTCTCTGCATACATCTTTTAATCCAGGTCCTTCACCATCTTGACTTCCTCTGGGCACCTAATCTACATGCCCTCAGGGCTATTCATCAAGCTGGGATGTGGCCTCACCTTTCCTATGCTGGAAAGGTGCAGGCCTGCAGCTGGCTGGGTGACCACATGTGGAAACAGAGCAGGGAGTAAGACTTGATGGCCTTTTAGGCCCCCTCCTTCCCTGCAACGCTTCTGTTTAATCTGAAATCAGTCAGAACAGAGCGCTGGATTCTAGTTATGGTCCAACCACAGCAGAATAGAGTGGAATTGCTTCTTGCAACCTGTTGGGGCATCCTAGAACTGCACTGCCTTATTTGCCCCCACACGGCACTGGACTCCTGCTTAACTGTGATCCACTCGAGCCTCTAGATCCGGATGGGCAACCAGGTGCCCTCCAGATGTTTTGGAGCTGTGCAGCCATTAGAGGGCCCACAAGTGTAGCATTTAAGGACCCCTGTTGCAACCTGTCTGCTGTTCACCCCCTTCAGAATTGCAGCTGACGTATGAAGCATCAAAATCTTAGGCTGAAAGGGTTTTAGCATTGCTTGAAGCGATCTGCGTAAAACAAATGGCTCCGTCCAAAACTTCAGTTGTGTTAGAAGCGAACACACGCAGGTATTCACATGGGACGCCGGTGCACATTCCAGGCACATGTTTGTGTAGTCTGGAAATCCATGAGCTGACTTGCCACCCTTCCCCTGCTCCTCTGCTGAGGTTTTGTTTGCAACAGCTGTGAAAAACACTGTCGCTGTGCATTCCCAGCAGACAGAAGCTCTTTTGCTTCTAGTGTCTTCTGTTGGAGTTGCATATGGTTTTTTGCTTTGCTAAAATTTGCAGTATGGAATAACTCACTCTTTTCTTCCCTCTAAAGCATTTGGGAATAACACGTGAGTGTGGAAAGAACCATTAAGCAAAGTACATGAAGACATTTATGTTTATAATGTGAAAATTTTAAATATATCTCAAGCATACCAAACAACCGTGGTGACCAGGTGCTAGCAGGTTTGGTGGATGTGGCAGGAATTTATTCACTTTAAGTATTTTCATGTTCTCTTTATTATTCGTTGTTTGCTAATGCTTATTTTATTTATTTATAATGCTTATCTGCTGCTTGATTTTCAAATAAATAGCAAATAAATTGAAGATTTCCAGTGAAGAGGTGAATGATTTGCTACTGTATTCTAGATCTTTGCCTTGCTCCTAGGTTTTACTTGATTATCATTTTTATTTTATTTTTATTTTATTTCATTATTATACTGCAGTTTTAAATTTTTAGATTGCATTTTATTGTGGTGTATTTTATGGATTTAATTGTGAAATACCCAGAGAGCTTTGCCTCTTGGGCAGTATAGGAAAAAAAAACTCTAAATACACCCATTAATTCTTTGGAACCTAATAAAATTCTTGTGCATAATCTTTTAAATTCACTTTGAGTTAACTTTGAAGCAAGTACATGTGATGCCATGAGATATAACAAAAAGGGCACAATCTAATGAACCTAAGCCCTCTTAAGTCCTATTGGCACTGTTGTAAAAGCATCCAACTCTCCTGTTGAAGTAAGCAGAACTTAAAATTCAAACAGAAGTAGGGACTCTTTATCTGAAATATTTAATTTTTCAGGCTTTTATTTTTTTTTCCAATTTCCTTTTTCAAATCTTCTTCATAAAATCTGCTATGAGACTTGGGAATAGGCCGAATCAATATGAAGATTTATTCATTCATTTGTATTTCTATCACACCTTCCTTCCCCTGTTGATGTCGGGGTGGCTGCGTGTAGTCCTTTGGCTGGTTGGTCGTGTGCCTTCAACCCACGCCCCAGGACCTTAATTGATTTTGACAGAGATTACTAAAGAGGCTGTTGTAGCATGAGACTGTTACCCACAAAAAGTGCCACAGTGCTATTTTATGGTCTTGTTCTTTCCCTTTTCTTGCAAAAACAGAAAAGCCTTGATCATGGTGCATTTAATTAATTGCCATGGAATACAATTTAATCAGGGTGTTTCAAGAATAGTGTCATTTGGCTGGTTTTATTTAAGGAATGTCTATGCTGCTGTAGTTATGTGGGTACAATGAGAAAATGATACAGCCTAAATCCTGGCACATCCTACCAATCATGAATACAGGAAAAATGAAATATATCTAATTTCTTGCATCCAGTGCTGGTTCTGCATCAAGTGGACCTCTTGAAATGAATGTGATTTATGTTAACCTTGGAAATGGTCCACTAGCACAAGATTGCATAAATGAGATGTGAGAAATAGAGTACGTTCCTCTTCTCCTCTCTAGTCTCCAAAGACAGCTCCCGTTTCTTTACCCCCACAGTTTTTAACCACCATTAAAAGGTGCATCAGCACAAATATCCATTGTGCCTGAAGCTAAACAGGATTCCCTGTCAACCAGGCTTTGAAGCCCAGCTCTGAACAACTCCTTGTCAAGAAGGGATCCTGGTTAGCACTAGCGATGATTGGCATCTGCGGTGCTGTGATCCTGTACCATGGTTAAAATCGGAGGGGAGCAGTCATGATCAAGAGGGAATATGAGCTTGTCCCCAGTGTGAGGCCGACTTGGAGTAGGCCCATTGACATGAATGGGGCTTGACCCACATGGGCGCTGGATACAGCTCTCGTGTTCTTCTGATGGCCAGGCCAGGGTTTGAGAGCAGGACACCTTCCAAAGCTCTTTGGCACTAGCAGCTCGATGCTGCTCGGGACAAGATGGCCAGCTGCCTTTCGGAGGCCCTGCTCCTGAGGTCAGCCCCGAGTTATGCCTGGCTGCCTCATTGGCATGCATTGTTCTGGGAGGGGCACCAGAAAGCTGACCAGCTGTAGCCACGAATCAACAAGAGACTGTTCAGCCCCCGAGTGGAAGTGGCAGAGCAGTGCCGGAGTGTTATGTTAGGATGCTCCTTCCAGAAGGCGAAACAATGCCATGAGTGTCTGGCACACAGTCGCCTTGTGTTTGCGGGGTGGGTTATTCAGTAATGTCAACCTCTGTGAAATTTTAGTGGTAAGGATTTGGTCACCGCTGCGAGGCTTTATTGCAAGCGGGAAGTTGCCTTCATAAGGGAGTGTGAATGCTTACACAGAAGCTAACGAGCTTGGAGGGAAAATGCCGTGGCTCGGGTTAACCTCTTCAAGAGCGATCCTGCCACGCCTCAGGGTGAGGTGACGCGATCGGTCCAGGGGGCACCGTGAGGGAGCACGCATGAAAGAAGAAAGAGCGACCTGTTGCAGCCAGACTTGTGAAGGGATTGCGCCGTGCAGGGGTAAGTGGCCTGAAGGCCTTTGGATTCCGTTGTAGGCAGCAAAATGCCTCGGACCAGCATCGTAACCTCTCCTGAGGTCTGCAAAGATACTGACATTGATAGGAGAACAAGATGGCTCATCTACCTAGCCAAAGAGGCTGAGGAGAGACTGTTTTGAAAAGAGCAGCCTTTATGTACGTGCAAACTACAGTCTGATCAGACAGTGGTTTATGGTCTGTGATCGCATGTGTCTGAAATGCCTTGCAGCAAAGCCAGTGCGTAACCCCTTTAAGAGTAGAGCATTGGCACTGAAGGATTTCGCTCTTGCAAAGATATCCAGGACACGAGGCCATGGTTGCGTGGGCCAGTTGGATAAAACCCACTGTCCACACACTCTGTGTGTGCGCCATTTGCATTTCAGAGTTGTTATAGCAATTCCTTCAGCTTGGGATAAGCCAGCGCCATCAACTCTGGGATTCAGGAGGAGGCCTTTCCCAGCCCTTCAGCCTGAAGTACCTTAACTTGCTGTTCCCAAGTTAGAAATTAAGCAGCTAGAGTTCTGTAGTTAATGTTGACATGGAAACATCTTAGAAGGCTTCCTCCCAGGTGAATATGCATAGGATTTCAACCTAAGGTACATGGTGTCATTAT